TAAATTAACAATTTCATGAGCTAACCCACTTTTTAAATCAAATTTTGTTCATTTTGATCCAATGGTAAATGCTTTTTGGAGTTAAAATTAACAATTTTATTTGCTATAACCGATGATTTTTGTCCCAATGTATTCATTTTGACCTAATAGCAAATAATTTTTTGAGTTCAAAATTAACGATTTTATAAGCTATAACCCATGATTCTAATGATTCTATTTGTATGTACAAGTAGACTTAAATTAAAGAATCTTTATTCAGGGTCTAATTTGATTCTCTTTTTGCAACAGTTATTGTTCTATAGATATAGCCACCATATACACCATCCAAGCTTTACTAGGCGAGTTTCCTACTCATGCTTTTTTACCTTTATGTCCCTTGAATTGAATTTTTTTCCTTGATTTATGACTTGATTAATATTCGCAACATTTTTTTATTTAATCAAAATGTTAGTTAAATTGTTGGTACCCCCTCTTCGGTAACATTTATCACCCCTCAACTATTTTGGTAGCACTTTATCACACCCGTATTGTCATCCTGAGAAGGATAAAATATTGATATCCCACTTCTTGGTGAACTGAGGGATTGAGAAATGACGAATGATATTGAAGATACAAAGAAGGTGGCTACCCGCAATTTACCTCAAAAATTTCAGCCCAAAAAGCACTTGTAAAATGAGTAGAAATTCCATAACATGATTTGATCCCAACACATATCGTTCAGTTCAAAATAAACTCGTGGGCTAAGTACATTAATCATTCTCTTTAAACTTTTTAGTCATTCTAATAGAATTAAAGAGTCACATATTGCAAGTCCGAGAGAAAATAGCAATCCTAATAGATTTAAAGAGTCACATTTGCACAGAGGATCCAGCTCTTTGGGTAATCGTCGTGTGTGGATCATTAGTTGGGCAAAAACCATTTACTATGCATCAAAACTTCTAAATGCTTAATTTCAGACATTAATAAAGACATATAACGCTACATAACTGAAAATTAATAATGGTTTCCAAATATAAAGAACTCATGAAATTTGAGCAATGTACGAGGGACCTGTACTAAAGTTGTGTCTCTTGAAATTAAGTACAGGAAACGGGCAATTGGAGAGCGCAATGCCATGTCTTTGGTCATCAGGGATCATGATAGCAAGGAATAAGAATAGTAATGAGTAAACTAATTGTCTACTATCATCGACTTTCCGTTGTCGTCTAGTCCGGTTAGGATATCTGGCTTTCACCCAGACGACCCGGGTTCAAATCCCGGCAACGGAATCCTTTTTTTAATTTTTTCCAAATTTACTGGTTAAAAAGTTCAGTCATCACCTTTCGTTATCTTTTTGGAGAAAGAGACACCACCCCACCTAGACCTGTCCATCCGGGTCGGGCCGGGCAAAACCAGAGCCCGGACGCGGGACCGGTCCGGGTTTTTTTATTTTTAATTTTTTTAAATTTAAAAAAACAATAAAACATAAAATATACATAAAAATTACAAAAAATAACATAATTTTTTAATTAATTGAAATAACATAAATTACAAATACAAAAAATTATAAAAATAAAAGATAATAAAAATAATTTTTTTTATTAATAATCATGTCATTCATATATTATACATAAACAAATTATAAGTACTTATAGAAATTACATAAACAAATTGTATTATACATAAACATATAATACACACACACGCATAAGTATATTTATAGAAGAGTATAAATATATATATACACAGATATTATACATATATAAGAGAGAGTATACTTATATATTAAGAGAGAGAGTATAAATATATATATATAATAGAGAGTATACACTGTATACTTATATATACTTATACAATATATAAGAGAGAGTATACTTATACATATATATAATTATATAAGAAATATATACATATATAAGAGAGAAAATACTTATATATATAATATATAATTATATACTAAGGAGAGAGTATAAATAAATAAATAAATAAATAAATAAATAAATAAATAAATAAATAAATATATATATATATATATATATATATATATATATATATATATATATAATATAATTATATATATATATATATATATATATATATATATATATACACATATATATATATTATATATACATTATATTATCATATAAGAAAATAAAAAAATAAAAAAATAATAAAAAAGCACTGTTCCGCGGGCCGGGCCGGGCGCCGACAACCGGCCCGGCCGGGCGCTGACGACCGAGCCTAGGCCCGAGCCGGCGGGCTTTTTGGACACCCCTACCCCACCTGGAGTTAGCGTGGGCCGCGCCCAGCCCGTCATGGGTCACCATCCTCTCCGAATTCTAATAGTGTCGCCCGGTCTTGATCAGGTCCATGATATATCTAGGTCATGGGCCGGGTTGAGTCTAGCCTCAGACCTAGGGCCAAAAAACTCTTCTTGCCCGACCCACGCTGGCCCGGACACACTAGCCTCAGGCCGACCGCTCCTGACCTATGATATGTGTGTGTGTGTGTAGTTGTTCCTCTAGCCCTTTGGGTTTGCAACTAGCTGCCAACAAAGCCAAAAAGTCATGTGTCTTTGACTCGTGGGCCTTTTGGCCTACTGAAAAACAAAGCACCGATGTTTAAGCTTGCTCCTATCTACTTAGAATGACTAAAAAGTTTAATGCAAGTTTAAAATAGTTTAATACAAGTTTAAATTACTAAAACATAAATTAGAAATAATTTTATAGTTATAAATACAAGTTTTATATAATTAAAAAGAGAAAAAAATTGGATGAAAACCCCATGGGCCGGCCCACGACCCACGGGCCGTAGGCCGGGTCAGAACCGGCCAGCACCTAGACAAGTTGTCAGACCCGAGATCGAAGAAGTAGGTCTGACACACTCTGACTCGCATACCCAGGTAAGGCCTCGACTAGGCCTTGAACCGGCGGGCCAAGTCACGGGCCGGAACGGCCGGCCCCGTCCACCCCTATATTCCCCTACTTATGATGATTTCATTTTAGCCCCCCCCCACCCCCACCCCGTAACCCACCTTTAAAAATAGATGATTAGACAAAAACAATTTTAAGAGTTTAAGTTATAAAGAAATCATCTTTAATGATAGTTCCCGTTTTGCAATCAACCACTTGACCTATTTTCCGTTCAAATTTTAAACTATAATTTCTAAAGTAACTCTTAAAAAAATACACGTGATATACATTCTTAATCAAACTGAGTGTATGACATATGTGTTTTCTGTTTTTTTTCCCCCAAATTTACTCGTTAAAAGTTCAGACGTCACCTTTTGTTATCTTTTTGGAGAAAGAGACACTACCCCACCTGTATAGTATAATACACTGCTCTATTTTATCACT